ATCCAACTGGGCAACCAAAGACAGCAACCAAAACCGGTCCACGAAAGTGCATGGTAAATGGTTGTAAAAACTGAACTGAAAACTGATAATAGCTCATTTGCCTTGTATTTTCCACTTATAGTGATAATTCGTGGGAGATACTCCGTCAATCAATGCCTGAAGTGGATTTACTAAACTTCAAGGACATCACAGAAAATGGCCCACATGTAAGGAAAATATCTGCTATGTAATATACGTAGACTAAACATCTTGTTAAAGCCATCTTCGAAAAGGCACTGAATGTTGGCGGAGATGTACGTAAGATCCGTGATGCTGTGTCAACAATATGTTTGGCGCAGGTACGTGATTTATGCGGTTCCACGCGGTATATGCCCGTTTATTTCAAGGATCAATTGTCTATCGCGTACAAGACGCTATCAGACACCTTTCGAACCACGACCGTTGGGGTTGGTACACTATCGTGTTTCAAGTTCACAATTTAGAACCCAACCATCAATGAACCGGACGATGAATTCAAACAGTTCAGTTTCCAGTTTTGCAGTTTTATGGATGAGGTACCATCTGAGCGAAGATTGTCAATCGTTGCCTCTAGATTACCGAAATTCATCATCACTTCGGACGAGACTTGCAAACATGCTTGCTGACGCAATTGGACTCATATTTGGACACTTTTGAAGGTATACTGTTTGACCCAGGGTTAATTGTGATTAATCCTGAATGCTAACTACTTTTTCATCACCCCATGCGCTGTTCTCCTTCAGGTCTATCTAGAGAAGCTAACGCCCTAGAAAATACGAATAAAATTTGCGATCAAGCGTTTCAAAACTATATGAAGTTATCGAAGAAGAGTCCATATAGAGGGATACATTCAGCTTTGAGCGAGCTGGCCGTGGTAAGTTTCCTTATGCGAAGCGATTTGTCGATTACGCAAAAACGTAGATGATTAACTTTGGTGCGAGGAAGACCAGAAACATCACGTGTTGTGTCGATTAATTTGCCGAACGTTTGGTCACGTTGAACATATGTATTTATATATATTTCACACTTGTCTGAGGACAGACTGTTTGCCAAGAAAAAATATGGTACAGTAATCTTTATAAAAAAGAAAATGTTCCATGATTGACTTGCGGGCTGAATACTGCCAGGCTGCTCCCGGCCAATGCAGGTGAATTCTCTTGAGGAATCCACAACCGCAGCCTTCGGCTAGCCAAAGCCTGACCCGCAAGGGAACGTGGCGGTGTGTGAGAGCCGCAGTCCATCGGGAGCCGGTGTCCAGTTCATCGGATCATACGCCCTTCGGACGGGGTCAGACGTCCAAGGTGCCGAATTCACCTCAATGCCCAATCGAGCCGGTGACCACTGCCAAAACCGAAAAGATGTAGGTGTGGTTCTTACATCTCCTTCTGGTTGGTTCGGAATCAGGGTTTTTAGTCAACTCCCCTAGGTGAACTACCAGTGGTCCACCAACCCGGTTATAGTCTCGGATATCGGCTTTTCGTCCCCTCACTCTGGTGGGAAAATACCTCCGCCCCACGAGAAGGCAGTGAGTAGGGCTTCCTCAGCAGAGGATGTTTAAGACGCTTGATCGTATAGGAGCATTTTGTGAGGTGAAAGGGAATGGTGACCAGCCGCAACCCTAGACACTCCCCCCTCGACCATACTGAGGCTTTCGGAGGTACGTTCAACATGGAATGCACGTTACTAGGATTGAGAAACAGAATAAGCCCAAAGAGAAAACTTATGCGTCACACCCAACTCTTTATCTTTTGACAACAAACCAGCAGTATTGAGGTTCTTTTTATCACTTGTTATCAATCCAGAGTCTTTTGCAAGGTGTACATGCCTGGTTTGATTATGTACTCTGATTCTGTTAACCATGGAGGTTCGCCTTCTTCCCCCTACCCTTCCATCAAAATACGCCGAATCCTTATCCAGTTTACTTATTTTCATTAATTTTGTGTAAACAGGGTCGAATTGGAAGCAATCAGTGAAGTCCGCTTCACTGCAATTCGCTGTACGATGATCATGATGATGACGATGGCCTGGCGAATCACATGACCTCATAGGATGTTGCTACTCGATAGTCTCAGAAAACTTGAGCGACGCCGCCGGCACAAACATCGATGGCATTTGTATACACTGAAACGTATTGACCAGTTGTTTGAATTTATATTGATTTGCATTTAACTCACAGTTACTTATCAGTAGTGTTGTGGGATAATTGATATTGATTGATTTGAATTGATCATCCTTCAGACTTCACTTTCACGCACAATCTTCAGCTCTTTCAGTCAACCATACATTGGGAAGCACTAGATTCGAGTTCCGCTCTTATTAGAGCTCATCAGTAGTGCATATGTACCGTCCCGTTCGGGATTCGAATTCGTGGCCATCACATGGAAAGCGTGTTGGTTACCACTGTACCAAATAGCTCATACCAGAGCTGAACCCAATATCTAATTCTTGTTTGTTCAAGTGTAGTCTTCAGAGATGGTCAGTCAGCTCAATTTGATCCTGCAATAACGAAAGAAAACAGAGTTGACTATCTGTTGACTCCAATCGAAATCAGTATCAATTATCCCACACCACTATTCACGAGTAATCGTGAGTTAAAGGAGAATTTTTACTTCAACCTAATTGGTATGTGACACGTCAACCCGCAACCTGTATGGATGACCTGATTTGGTGGGAGGTTTTCACCATGTGCATACAGAGTAAATGAGAATGAATAAGGTGGACAGGTATTCGGCGTAGTTTGATGGAAGGGTAGGAGAAGAAGGAGAACCTCTGTGATCAAAACAGTCAGAATACATAATCAAACTATGCATGTACACCTTTCTAAGCATTCTTGCTTGATCACAAGTGACAACAAGAACGTCATTACTGTCGTTTGTTGTCAAAAGATAAAGAGTTGAGTGTAACGCACAAGTTTTCCCTTTGAGCAAATTCTGTTTTTCCGTCTGGTAATGTTGCAAAGAGAGTGAAAGGATGCACGAACACCATTGTTTACGACACTCAGCTATATCACCCAATAACTCTGTCAATTGATCGCAATGATCCTGAGATCCCTATCGAGAGATCCCGAAGCGATTTTTATGACCAAGCCTTCTGGTTAGGGTTTCCATTCTTTTTTGTCAGGTCTTATTTTGACCACCCCTGACTTTTTTCCACCCACCAGTTGCCTCTACAAACATTGCCCGCCGTGGCAACAGAAGGAGCTTGCAACGAACGCTGTTTACCACATGGCCCAACTGGTTCATTTTTTGTTCGAATAAATTTCACTGGATCTGATTCAGTGGCAACATGTTGCATTTTTCACTAAGTACTTGGAGTTATTGCAAACTGACAATTTTAGCGATTTGTTTTTGAATGACGTTTGAACATTTATAACGTTTCCATATGAAACTGGTTAGCTCCTATCATGAACCCGCTTCACTTTTCTGTCTCTCTCTCTCTCTCGAGTGTTTTTATTCTCACAAAGGTTTCCTGGTTTCTCTCAAGTTTCTCCATCCATCGCCTGTATGTCTCTCACCCACCCGCCACCTCACTTTCACCTTCCATCCCGTCGAATCCGAATCTTTTTGCGATCCGTGTGTGAAAGGCTCGTCGTGATTTCGAGCGTGAAGCTTGCGTTCACTATGGTCATCTGAATGAGGCCGGCTATCTGCGTGAGATCGCCCCAATGCTATCCATTTCCCTGCTTCTCGATTCACAGACACAGCATGTGCAGGCGTTGAATCAGGTATTCGGGGGAACTTTGGCCACCTATTTGACCGCGGCTCAAGCCGGTCTGAGACGGTAAGCGTTTGTGTGTCTTGTTTCTACCTCTCTCTCCGGATTACGTGTATTTCCGTAGTCACTTGCGCCGCATACCCCAGCTAGTGTGACTGTGCTCTTGCACTGCTGGGAAATTGTATTTCTCTGTCGCGAACCTTGTGCACGACCAGCCAAACTGACGACTCTTTACCACCTGAGTCCGGCATAGCTAGCGATGTTCATCAGGCCTGTTCA